TGAAAAGAAGACAAAAATACAAATAAGAATTGATAATTAAGCAGAAACTAATCTCTAAAAGATCTAAAAGAAATAAAAGCCAAGCAAGTACTATGACATACACCTATACTCCCAGCTATTCTGAAGGATTGTGGATTGAGGCCAGCCTGGGGAAAAAAGCTACCAAGACCCCATCTCAATCAATAAGACTGGTATGGTGGTTCACATTTGTCATCCAAGCTATGCGTGAGATATAAACAGGAGGATCAAGGTCCAGGCTAGCCTGGGAATAAACCCAAAACTTTATTTTTAAAATAACTAAAGCAAAAAAGGACTAAGGTGTAGCTCAAGTGGTAGAAGACCTATCTAGCAAGCTGAAAAGCCTAAGTTTAGACTTTACTACCTCAAAAGAAGGAAGACGAAGAAGGAATATAGAACAAGACATAAAACACCTGAATAAATGTAGAAGAATAAAGAAAAATACTTTTGGACTGTAAACTTTTGACTTTATAAAATTTTCATGCATTAAATGTGAAACTATGCATAATTTTAAAAATCCAACTCAAGAACCAGGTGAAAGCGGGGCACCAGTGGCTCACGCCTGTAATGCTGACTGCTCAGGAGGCTGAGATCTGAGAATAGAGGTTCAAAGCCAGCCCAGGCAGGAAAATCCATGAGACTCCTATCTCCGATTAACCACCAGAAAGCTAGAAGTGGTTCTGTGGTTCAAAGTGGCAGAATGTTAGCTGCGAGCAAAAAATGCTCAAGGATGGTGCCCAGGCTCTGTGTTCAAGCCCCATGACTGCCAAGAAAAAAATAAAGAAAAAGAAAAAGAACCAGCCTTTTTGGGGAAGGCCTATAGTCCCAGATATTCAGGAGGCTTAGAGCCAAAATATTACTAGAACCCAGAAATTAAATGCTAGCCTTGGCAACATGGCAAGACCATGACTCAAAAACTATAAGCATGCTGAACTCAAGTTCTACTTAACTCAAATGTCAACTAGCCTAAATACATTCCGAGAAAGGAGTTCAGATCCTCCAGTCACAGCCAAGGTCACCAACCTTAGTTTGCTTCTGTTATATACAAGAGAAGACAGAACGAGCTGGTAGACACCAGCCTTCCTGAGGCGCATTGTCACAGCAGTGAAAAGACTGCTAAAGCACAGCTAATGTTGATTGCAAGTATTTATTTTAATAGTATTTTTCCTTTAAGTGCGCATGCTGAGATGTTGGGGCAATTGACAGCTCTTGTCAGGGGTGGGTTGTATAAGGCCTTGGGAAGTTTGGTCCAGGAGAGAATAGATACTTATGCTTTTCCTATGATTCTTCTCACCACCAGCTGCTTGCTGCCTGTGTTGAAATTTTGTGTGGCTCTAATGATGCCATAAACATCTAAATAGCCCTTGAAAGAAAACATGTCCCCACCCCCGTGATCTTCCTTAGGGCCCTGGCTATCTTGAGTATAGGACTCTCAGGTGGGCAGCCAGGCGGACTGCCTTCATGCCAGCACCAGCTGCTTTCATCATTCTGTGGATGTATTGACAAGGCCACACACCAAGCCACACACCAAGCACACCTCTGACTCCTGAAGGCACTATCTCAGGAAACACATCCTGCCCTGGTCTTTTTGATATTAAAAATCTTGCCAGCCCTAGATGATCTTGCATCCCTTTCCAGCAGGTGGGAGGAGTACTTCCCCTGGTGGTCCAACAGAAGACCTGTAATTGGTGTACACGCAGCCTTTCATTTACATAAGGAACTTCTGTAATTGGTGCAAACCAAGGCTTCACTATCACTCCTCTGGCTGAGGAAGTCGTGTTGTAAATTCATTTTGTAAGCAGATGGGAGACATCCTCCTGATCTTCCCCGTAAAGACTCTCTAGAAGAGTCTTGCCTGCCTTTGCTCCACTGGTAACATGAAGAAAAGGGGCCATGAATGAAGGGGCAGCACCTGGAAGAAAGAGCTCCCTGAGGCAGCCTTGTAGAGGAGCAGCGCAGGGCTAGAATGGCCTCAGGCAATTACAGCGGATCCACTGGAGGAACTGACAGGATGAGGGCAGAGAGCACAGTGCCTGCAAGGCAACACAGTGGCTACAGGCCAAAAGGAAGCTTCTACCCAGGAGAGGCAGGGCAACTTGAAAGTAAAGCTTCCAGAAGGTTGGAATTTGCCATGGGAATCCCCTCCCACCCCACCTCACACAAACATATTACACACAGGCACACTCAGGCACATGCACACATGGGAAGGTCTCTATCTGGGGCTCAGAAGCTGTAACACTTAGCCCTTAGAGCTTCAGCCCCAAACCTGAGACTTGAGTGCAGTGTTACCACCACCCTAGCTGTCAGCACAGTCCCTATACCTGGTGCCACTCCTCGAGTTCTTAAGTGCTTTATCCAACCCCCAAGAATCCATTCCTGTGGGGCAGCCGTGGCTGCAGAGCCCAGAGCCCACTGGGGCTGTCTGCCGACACCACCTGCAAATACCCACCAAAGACTGGAATCACTGGAGGAGTCACTCCTCACCTCCTGGTTCATAACTTCTGTCTAGGTAGAGCAGAAAGACCCAGCCAGCACTGTCTACTAGCATGATCTCTGAAATCTACACTTTCCTCAAGGACTATAACAATTGATAGTATGCCTAACATTTAACAAAGCTATCGACTCAAAATTCTGACCCCAGATAACCTGCTCATTTTCAGAATAACAGGAAATAAATCACCCCTGAAACACCTTTGGTTGTTAATATTTGATTCTGCATGTCTCACATTGGCCTCCAATACAGCAGCCACTAGCCAAGGAAGACACTACTTTTTAAAATCACTTTTAAAATGCTCTCAGCTACACTTACCCCAAATGTGGCCAGTAGCACTAATAGGCAATATAGATATAGACCATATTCCTCATTCCAGAAACTTCCACTGGACAAAAGGAGAAGCTTCCTAAGGGCAAAAACCCCCTCATCTTCTTAGCAGTGTTTACATGGTTTCTCCCTTAGAGACTGCCAAAGAAAAGTTACCTAACATATATCCGAGTACATTGACCAACAGTCCATGGGGTAAGTGAAAAAGACTAAAGGCACAGATTTTGTTTATTGTTTGTTTGAGATAAGACTTTATTATGTCGTTCACAGTGGCTTCATACTTGCAGTCCTCTGACTGTTTTCCTGAGCATTGTATGACAAGATGTACCATCGTGACTGGTACAAGGTAACCAGTTAACAGCTCTGGAGCCTGTTTGCACATTTTTTTTGTTTTGTTGGTTGTGGGGCTTGAACTCTGGGCCTGGGTGCTGTCCCTCAGCTCTTCAGCTCAAGGCTAGCGCTCTATCACTTCAGCCACAGTGCCACTTCTAGTTTTCTGGTGGTTTATTAAAGATGAGTCTCATGGACTTTCCTGCCTGGGCTGCCTTTGAACTCGGATCCTCAGATCTCAGCCTCCTGAGTAGTTAGATACAGCCACGAGCCACGAGCTCTCAGCTGTACATGCTCTATATGTGGTGTGTGCCTCTGTGTGTGTGTGTGTGTGTGTGTGTGTCCAAAGAGGGAATGCAGAGAGTGTACATACATAAGAATATAATCGAGCCAGATGTATAATGGTAAAACAAAATAAGTCACAATATATTCTACATTCTACTTTCCCTAAAGATGGGTTCCCTTCCCAAAGTGTGGTCTGAAGACCAGCAAACCGGCATTGGCTAGAAGCTTGTGACAAACATAATGCAATGGCCACTTCCATGGTGGTTTGTGGAATCTGGAAGAAATTTTCAGTGAGCATTTCTCAATCTTGCTATATTCTTAGGACCATGCACCTCTCCCTAGGCTCCACCTTTTACACTCTAAAAATAGAGGAAAGTAGAATTCTGTTTTACAAGCTTCATAAGATCCAAAAACTGCCACTGCCTAAGACCCAGCAGCTCAAGGTAAAGCAGTAAATGCAGCAGAGGTAATTCCAATTGCTAGCTAATAGAGAAACACAGTGTACAAACAAGAGGATTTTTCTGTCAGTTCTTCCACTTGTCCTCTCCAAAGCCAATAGTGTTTTTTTCATTTTTAATTATTTTTAATTTTTTTAATTTTAATTTTTTGGGTCCAGTCGTGGAGCCTGAACTCTGGGCCTGGGCACTGTCCCTCAGCTCTTCAGCTCAAGGCTAGCACTCTACCACTTGAGCCACAGCGCCACCTCCGGCTTTTTTCTTTTTGCTTATGTGGTGCTGAGGAATCAAACCCAGGGCCTCATGTATGCAAGGCAAGCACTCTACCTCTGAGCCACCTTCCCAGCCCCATCATTTTTTAATAAGAATAAATATATGGTAGACATATCAGGTAAATAAAATGGTTAGTGGTTAAGAAAGGTACTGTGTTTCACTTAAGACAAACCAAAGCAATGTTTAAATAAAATTGAATTTATAGAAACTAGATAAGAGAGAACAAACATAGTCCAATCAGACAGAAATTCAATGTCATTCAGCATAAAACTTGCGAGGAGGTAAATCAAATCTGTCATCAGTTCTAGCCATTTATCAAAGGATGATTACTCCAGTTTGGGATATTCATTGGAGGTGCCCACTCCCTGACTCCTAGGTCACTAATAGCTTCTCATCATTCCTTAGGGGTCCCTGGTATTTCAAACTCAGGGAGGATCCCCAGGTGCTGGGTACCAGAAGGAAGTATTTCATTTGAACTTGTAGTCTTGTTATACTTGTGGAGTATGTTCATTCAGAGGGTTTTAAATGTGGTGTGTGTAGATGTCTCTGTGTATAAATGTGTATATTATTATTTCCAAGTATTTATTAACACTCAAAAATAGTAAGGATGGGGGGGGATGGGAAGGTGGCTCAGTGGTAGAGTGCTTGCCTTACATTCATGAGACCCTGGGTTTGATTCCTCAGCACCACATAAGCAGAAAAAGCCAGAAGTGGGGCTGGAGAGCTGAGGGACAGAGCCCAGGCCCAGAGTTCAGACCCCATGACCGACAAAGAAAAACATAATAATAATAAGGATGGGACGTTGAAACAATAATTCCCAGACTCATTATCTTTATTGAGGTAGGCCAAGGGCCCCAAGAGACCCATCTATAGCTCTATGACTAATGTAATAACTCCATAATAGCTTCTAAAATGTAACTAAATCCCTTTTGAACATATCTAGGGAGAACAATTACATCTAAAAACTCTTTTCCTTCCAGCATTGAGGCATATAACTCTGGTGTCCTAGGAAGTTAGGAGGCTGAGGTGGAAGTTCTGCGTAAGAGTTGAGACCCTGTCCCAAAATGAACAAGCGAATAAATAACTTTAACACAAAAATTGTGAATCAAACATTATAATCTCCATAATCAAAAGAGTTACTATTTTGTTAGTTTAAGATATTGAGTGTAGTTATTTTAAATACGTGTATGAATTTCACATGTATAATTTTGTCATGATGTTACATGATCATTGATTGATTGTGGGCTATGTCCTGTTTCAGCCATGTTAAAATTAAGGGGAAAGGTATACTCTGCATGAGTGAAATGCATCACCGTTACTGAGTTTTTCATATAATCATTGTGAGAATGAATTAAACATTATGCATATTAATTTGGCATGCATTCACTATCAGCACCATCATCTAAAAGACAATGATCATTTTAGTTACATTTCCATTTGAAATGAAGAGGCTGCTGTAACAGACATCTTACACAGACTTTAAAACTTTAGGCTTTCTACTTGTGAATCAACTCATTTTGATTTCTAGGATCACAGATCAGTAAAAATGAGACAAATTACTGTAGAATAAGGTCCTCAGTGTAGCCCTACATGGCAGAGTCACATCTTCAAGACAGGTCTTTTAGGCCCTCTTAAGTATTTTTATAGAAAAATTTTAAAATGAGCCCTTAGTATTAGCCCTTATGCCTTAGTCTAACTCTGTGTTGAGTTAAAAAAAAAAACAACAAACTCTGCCCCTTACTAGGATACTCTTTCATGAAACTGTTCTCCCCAGTTCTCAGGCAGAACAAGGATGCCCAATCATTTACTTAGAAAATCCAACTCCACTCCTCTCTAGCACCACCAGTTCTCAACTACAAATGCCTTCATCCAATGCTCTTAATGCTGGATACAATGCAAGAATACCTAACCAGCCACATGCCAAGGGAGACTCATGACAAGATCTTACGGTTTGTGCACAATGATGGTTCATGTACAACTCTGGACTTTTCTGCCAGGCCTGGCTTTGAACTGTGATCTGGATCACAATTTTCTGAGTAACTAGGACTATAGCTACTCTTGGCTGGAGGCCTGAGCCACTGAGCCCTCAGCTTGTTCCTTTATAACCCAAAACTAGATGGCAAAGCTTTCTGGTCTTTGTTCTTTCTGTTTCTTTTTCTGTGGTGGTACAAAGGCAAGGTAGCTAGTTTATACATCACAGGAAATATAATAGCAGTGCATATTGCTGACCCCAAACAGATGTACAGAACTACTGGTAAATCTGGGTATTGCCTTTGAAGAATTCCAATTACTGCAGGAATAGCCATTTCTCCCAGAGTACCACCAATCACAAAAAATGCAGCAGATTTGCCACTGATGGTGGTGTACTGTTCAATCCAAGAAACACCACTGGGAAACGTGGTGGCCATGGAGGCCCCATACACCGAGGTTGCTATCCAGAGACAAAGGGGGCTCCTGTCAAAAAGCACCAGAAACAAACAGGAGGCCAGGCTGCCAATGTTGCTCAACACAATCATAGTGGCAGGGCGTAAACACGTGGCAAAGAGGATTGCCAGGCCCCTGCAGGCTGCGAAGGTCCCCCAGAAGATGGAGTTCAAGCCAGCTGCCTCTCTCTCGTCCATGCCAACATGGGTGGTGGCAAAGGAGAAAAGGTAAGAGCCGTATGTCACCTCAGCCCCAACGTAGAAGAAGAAGAACAGAAAAAGCAGACAGAGAAGGGCCTTGTGGTATTGAGCTCTTCGAGATTGCTGAGCAGATGCTGTTGATTTTCCCTGCCTTGAGCTTTTCATGAAGAACAGAGCAAAGAAAAAGAGAGAAACCACAAGAATATAAGTGCCTATGGAAGCATAAGCCCACAGTAAGTTCATGTCATGGGGAGCTGCGAGTAGAGGGTCTGAGGCGGCTTCAGAAGAGGCATTGAGGGCTGCAGGCAGAAAGTCGGTTTCTGTGTGGTTGTCAGCAGACTCTGTGGGGCCCAGCGCCAGTTTAGCCAGCAGGGGAGCCAGGAAGGCACCCAGGGCAAAACTGAAGTGTAAGGCCTGCATGTGTGGGGGGCTCTTGTCCCCCCAAAGAGCCAAGATGAGCACGTTCCCACCTAGCAAAGAGACACAAAGAAAGTTTTAAGTTATACATAGCAACATTGAGATAAAACATTTCATAATTTCCAGAAAGAGGATGAGTCTGTAATTACATGACATAAGCACCATACTGTTCTGACTTATTTAGACACTGGCTCTAAGTAGATTCTATTTCGGGATTGAAGAACTCTGACCTACTCACACCAGAGAACAGTATGTGTCAAGATAGCATTCCCTGAATTCTACAGGATGTACCTACTTCTAGTAGGCCCATTAGTAAGGGCTTTTTTGTTGTTGTTGGTGGTGGTGGTAGGGCTTGAACTCTGGGCCTGGGCGCTGTCCCTCAGCTCTTCAGTTCAAGGTAAGCACTCTACCACTTAAGCCACAGCACCACTTCTGGTTTTCTGAGTAGTTTATTGGAGATAAGAGTCTCATGGACTTTCTTGCCCAGGCTAGTTTTGAACCTTGATCCTCAGATCTCAGCCTCCTGAGTAACTAGGATTACAGGCATGAGCCACCGTGCTCAGCTAAGTAGGGCTTTTTAAAATGAAACATTGCTAACATCACTCTGGGAAATAGTATTTATATACATGTTTTGTATTTTAAATATATGTTTATTCGGCAAAATCTTATCATCAGATAGTGATGATAAGGAAAAAAAGAAAGTGGGTACCAACTTGTTTTGTATTTTTTTTTCTTTTTTGGGGTCTGGTCATAGGGCCTGAACTCTGGGCCTGAGAGCTGTCCCTCAGCTCTTCAGCTCAAGGCTAGCACTCTACCACTTGAGCCACAGTGCCACTTCCGGCTTTTTTTTCTGTTTATGTGGTGCTGAGGAATCGAACCCAGGGCCACATGCATGCAAGGCAAGTGCTCTACCACTGAGCCACCTTCCCAGCCCTGTCACTTGTTTTGTATTTGTATTAAAGAAAAAAATTCAGAACCTGTAAAGCCCAGATGTGCCTGTGGCAGGAAATAAGCATCATCTTTGGCTGGCTCTTTTGTAAGATAATTTCAAATGAGTACATAATTCTCCCTTTGCCATTTGGCAACTAAACATAACCTAAAATATAAAAGTTCCCTGATATCTCAAATAACATTAGAGCAAAACCAGGACAAAAAGCTTGAATGGGGGTGAACAAATAACACATATGTTATTTAGCAGGTCTTCAAATATATGATGGTACCTAGAGACTATCTAATGCCGAGGTCAGGAACTATTGAGAAAGAAAAGCACAAGGCTGTACAGAGCCCAGGCTTCTCTAGGCAAAAAACCAGAATACACTTGAGTGTATGTGTGTGTGTGTGTGCGTGCGTGCGTGTGTGTGTGTGTGTGTGTGCGTGCGTGCGTGTGTATGTGTGTGTGTGTGTGTGTGTGTGTGTGCTAGTTCTGAGGCTTTCACTCAAAGCTCGCTCTCTACCATTAAGTCACAGCTCCACACCTGGCTTTTGGGTGGTTAATTATAGAGCAGACTTTCCTGCTGGAGCTGGCTTCCATAGGGATCCTCAGATCTCAGCCTCCTAAGCTAAGATTAGAGGCATGAGCCACCAGTGCCTGGCCAGTGTGCATTTCTAACCAGATGGCAGCCTCTATGCTTTTGCAGCCAAATAGTGGTTTCACACTTGTTTAATCTTTCTAATCCTTTAACTCTTCTTACTGATGATGCTCAAATCCTTTCTCCCAATGGAACCTCTCTCTATTTCCTGCACTAGAAATACCCTGAGTTTAAAGGTTCTTCCCTGTCCAAATACTATAAAATGAACACAAAGAAAAATCTTCTAAATTCACTTCATAATTAGTTATTTAAAAAAACCTGGCACCTCAAATGGCAAGTTGAGTCCTTCTGACTGGGTGCCCATGATCAGCTTGGAGAGTTGTGTCATATCAAGAGCATTGTAAATGATGTTGTCATTTCACCAGCTCTGTTTCCCTGCAGTAGTGTCCTGGTCTGGAGGAGACACTGAAGGCTCACTGACCTGTATCCAGAGCACCAAATGAAACCCCAAAGACAGACATCATGACAATCAGCAGTACTGCTTGCTTGCAAAATGGAGTGAGATAAAGACCGACTGTAGTCGCTAGCATGGAAAGCCCTGGGAAGGAGAGGAAGAAAGTCAGCCATGAGATCTGTTCACATGCAAGTTCATGGGTCAATATCCTAAAGATGTATGAAGATGCAAAATAAGGCCAAATTAAAGCTAATTAATCTCAAGAATTTGATTCAAGTGATATGTATCATTTAAATCTTCTAAAATGTTTATGTCGCCCCAAAACTGTGACAGTACATTCTATCGCTATTACAAATTATAACACATTTTAAATTAAAAAATATTATTATTAAAGGTGGTATACAGAGGCTTACAGTTACATAAGTTAGTTAATGAGTACATTTCTTTTTGGACATTGTCACCCCTTCCCTCACTCTCTCCTAGTTTTTCCCTCTCATCCCCACCCACAAGTTGTAGTTTTTTGTCAACATAGTGAGTATCCCTGCTGCATTTGCTCCTTTGTCTCTTCATTTCTCTGCCCATCTTAACCCTCCCAAAGACAGATAAAAGAAAAGAGAGGAGAAGAGAAACAGCAATAAAGGGGAAAAACTCATTTCCATTTTCTGGAATTCATTTTAATAAATATCATTTAAATGATCAAGTATACACAGGCATTTTACCTTTGTTACATAATTTTTATAGCAAAAGAGGCCTTCCAAATGTTGCATATGTAAATGTTTCATACTTTGGTAAACATCTAAGGAACTCTTAGGTATACCATAAACTGATTAAAAAGGCAAAAGAAGTGGTTTGTATAGCAGTTGTTTAAAAAAAAATTAAATAAGAAATATGGAGAGGCAGTGAAGGACTTCTGTGATGAAAACTTTAAAAACCTGAAGAAGGAAATCAAAACAGAACTTGGAAAGTGGAAAAACCTCCCATGCTCCTGGATTGGAAGGATCAACATCGTGAAAATGGCAATACTGCCAAAGGCTATCTACAAATTCAATGCGATACCTATCAATATTCTTCAAGGAAATAGAATTTCTTCAAGGAAATAGAAGAGGCAATCAAAAAATTCATATGGAACAATAAAAAGACCCCAAATAGCAAAAAAGAGTTTTAACAGAAAGAACAATTCTGGAGGAACATCAATACCAAATTTCAAACTCTACTACAAAGCTATAGTAATCAAAACAGCTTGGTACTGGCACAAGAGACCTCAGGACCAATGGAATAGAATTGAAAACCCAGAAATGAACTCACAGACTTATTGCCACATAATCTTTGATAAAGGAGCTAAAAAAGTAGAATGGAAGAAAGACAGCCTCTTCAGTAAATGGTGGTGGCAAAATTGGTTAATCACCTGTAGAAAACTAAAGCTAGATCCTTATATATCACCCTGCACCAGAATCAAATCCAAATGGATCAAAGACCTCAAAGTAAAAGCAGACACCCTGAAAACATTACAGGAAGGAATAAGAGAAACCTTAGGTCTCCTTGGAACAGGATGAAATTTTCTTTCTTTCTTTTTTTTGGGGGGGGGTTCGGTCATGGGGCCTGAACTAGAAATTTTCTTAATAGAGACCCAGAAACACAACAAATCAAAGAAAAATGGACAAATGGGATTGCATGAAGCTGCAGAGCTTCTGCATAGCAAAGGACATAACTAGCAAGATCAATAGAAAGCCCACGGATTGGGAGAAGATCTTCACTAGCCATACAACAGACAAAGGTCTCATATCTAAAATATACCTGGAACTCAAAAAATTAACTCCCCCAACAACAAATCCTCAAAGAAACAACTGCCTAATAAATAAGTGGGCTAAAGACTTAAAGAGAAACTTCTCTGAGGAGGAAATAAGAATGGCCAATAGACACATGAAGAAATGCTCAACCTCTCTAGCCATAAAAGAAATGCAAATCAAAATAACATTGGGATACCACCTCACTCCAGTTAGAATGGCTATAATCAAGAACTCTAATAACAATAGATACTGGAGGGGATGTGGACAGAAGGGAACCTTACTACATTGTTGGTGGGAGTGTAAACTTGTTCAACCACCTTGGAAAGCAGTATGGAGGTTCCTCAAAAGATTCCACATAGAGCTCCCTTATGACCCAGCAATACCACTTTTAGGCATTTACCCAAATGATCACAAACAAGACCATACTAAAGCTACCAGCACAACTATGTTTATTGCAGCATTATTTACCATAGCTAAGATATGGAACCAACCCAGATGCCCCTTAGTAGATGAATGGATCAAGATAATGTGGTATATATACATAATGGAATTCTATGCCTCCATCAGAAAGAATAACATTGCCCCATTTGTTAGGAACAGTGAGACGTACAAGACGTTATGTCGAAAAGCTTTACACGGTATAACCCCTGCTTTCATTGTATTTGATGTCGGTATAATTTGTGGAGGGGAAGGGCAAAACAAATCGTTTAAATAGGGATACAGATGGACCCATTGCAACAATGAGATGTACAAGTCGTTATGTCGAAAAACGAACTTTACAACTTTGGCAGATGCGGGGGGGTATTGGCGGGGGGGAATGAGAAGGGATGGGAAGGGGAAACAAAGGAGGAGGCTACAATGCCTGATAAGAAATGTACTCATTATCTTGCCCATATAATTGTAACCCCTCTGTACAGTATTTTCACAATAAAAATAAAAATTAGAAAAAAGAAATATGGAGAGGCATAGGCGAATATTTCTTTCTGGATACAACTCCAAAAGCACAGGAAAGAAAAGTAAAAATGGACTAATGAGATTTTATCAAAGTAGGTAGATTTGAGGGTCACTAGACTGGCATTTCTTTTTTCTTTTTTTTCTTTTCTTTTCTTTTTTCCATCGTGGGGCTTGAACTCTGGGCTTGGGTACTGTCCCTCAGCTCTTCAGCCAAGGTTAGCACTCTACCACTTGAGCCATAGCACCCACTTCCGGCTTTTTCTGTTTATGTGGTGCTGAGGAATCAAACCCAGGTCCTCATGCAAGGGAGACAAAGCACTCTACCACTGACCACCTTCCCAGCTAAACTGGCATTTCTAGGTGCAAGCTCTTATACCGTTTCCTTCTACCATGGAAAATAGGATGGTGAGTCCTTGAAAAATGAGGCCATCATGTGATCTGTCTGTACACACAAACACACACACATACGATCAATCAATCAATCAATCAAATAGTATTCATCTGTATACAATAATGCAGTTCTGTCCCTTGGAGCTAGACAGATGGATGCACATACATCATTATGTGAAGTAAGTCAGACACAGACCAGTTTCATGTGTTCACACTCAGGTTTGGACACTAAAATAGTATGGAATAGTGGAATCATTGGTTGCTAGAGATCAGAAAAAAAAGCAGGGATGAGGAGACAGAAACAAGTGAGATAAGGGGTATAGAGAAATCCAGTTAGGAGGAATTAGTTCTTGTTTGCTACAGCTCATCAGGTTAATTATTGTTCACAAAACTAATTAGAAAAGAAAAATCTAATAAAAGTTCCCAACACTTGGAAATGATTATTATTTGAGGTTATGGAAATGCTTATTGTCCTGATATGATCGTTATAATTTGTACAATAAATCAAATTATCATATTACATAAAAAGTAGAAATATTATCTCAATAAAAATTTAAATGTGTAAGTTCCCGATTAAAATCAATTTCAAATTCAAAAAGAAATGGAGAGTAGGGAGGGAAACACATGACATATATTTTTGGCCTGGGGATATTGCTTAACATGCTACTTGAGTATGCACCAGGTCATAGGCTTAATATCCAAGATAGCAAAACTTTTTCATAAGTACCTATGTATGTATATATGTATGTATGCACGCATGCATACATATTTCCTTCAACTCACTTTGAAAGTAAGAGGGATTACTTACTCATTAGTTGGCATGAACTATTTCCCTGTCCAAGTCACATTAATCTAAATTTTCTTGAAAGCTGTCACCCTATTCAAACCACAGCATTTTAAAACCATTGCCAGCATGTCAAAATCCTCTAGACTGTGGCACAGGGACCAGTCTCATCACTAACAGGAGGACAAATGTGCAGCCTGTGTCAGTCCATCACCATCCCCTCCCCTGCACTGTCAACCCAGAGTCCAGAGAGCCTGGCCACATTCCCAGACTCATCTGGCTCCAGACACACCTAGATATCTGCCCTACACCTGATGTGCAGAGCTTTGGGCCAAGTGGACTGGTCAGAGGCTCAGGACTGCCATCAGCACACCTGAGGGCTAATCAAAGCTCCAGGTGGCCCAGCCCAGATGCCCTGTGGCTGCCAAGGTGAGGGCCATGGAGACCTGGCTTCTGTGGAGGACCCTGAAACGCCATTCAGTTCAGTTGTCATTTCAGTTGTCAAGTTTTCATATTTAGAACCCAGTTGTAAATTCACTGACAGGCACAAAGAATTAAAAATTACTGTTCACTCACCCAAAAGCAAAAACTGATTCATACAGTCCAAAAGAACTCCTCCAATCATAGAGCCACACAAATATCCAAAAGCACGACCCACAAATACTTCAGAAAGACTGCTGATATTGCGGTTCACGTTAGTGGCCAGATCTTGAAATGTGGGTCCCAGTATAGCAGTGGTTGTTCCCTGAAATTGAAAACCAAAAGTTTTATTTAAAAATAAAATAATGTACATCTAATTTGTATCCACTACAGAAAAGCGAAGAAAGGATACAATGCAATGGAGAGAATCACATGAGAATTACAGGAAGAAAAATACACTGTTATTCTAACAGCCTCAGTGCCATAGACTCCAATTGCTTTCCTTCTTTTCAACTCTTTTTCAAAAATTACTTAAAATCATGGTTTTTTACTGTTCACACTAGCCAAGATATAGAAACAACCAGATGCCTCACTACAGATGAATGGATCCAAAAATTGTGGTACCTATATACAATAGAATATTATGCAGCCATTAGAAAGGAAAAAATAATGGCATTCACAGGGAAATGGTTAGAACTAGAAAAAAATCATTTTGAGTGAGGTAAGCCAAGAGCAAAGAGACAAATGGCACATGATCTCCCTGACATGTGGGCGTTAAATCAAAAATGCAAGGAGATACGGCAAAGTAAATAGGACTCGAGAAACAAAGAACCTCCACTCATTTTGTTGTGCCATTGCTAAATGACCCCATGTTCTTGACCACACATATGGTATATATATATATATATATATATATATATATATATATATATATATATATATATATATATATATACACACACACACACACATATATATATATATATATATATATATGTACCAACTGACACCAAACAAAAGGAAAGAAATGTACATATCACCTGATGGGGAAGAAATAGTTGTATTGTCAAAGCTCATAGAATTCACAAATAGACCACACTAATGACAATTTGCCTCATGAAGGTTAGAATGTGTTTGTGACTTTAACTAAGCATCACTATCCCACAATACTGTGAAATGTGTGAAATTTATGTAATCACTTAATCAAAATAAATTATTTTAATCATGGCTTTTTGTTGCACTTTTTCTATTGGAATAACGTCTTAAAGACTATTCTGTATTAATAGTGAGTTCAAGTTAGGGATATAAGTCAGAGGTGTGAGACTTGCCTAGTAGGCATAAGTCCAGGTTTCTACGTGAGCACTGCAAAATAGTAACAATAAAATACCAACAGTAATAATAAAGTTTATAACATGTAATATTACAACTATATATATTATATAGTAGTGTTGTGCATGTATGTGCATGTGTGTATGTACACACATGTGTGTGTACGTGTGTGCCAGTCCTAGAGCTTGAACCCAGGGCCTGTCCACTATCCTTGAACTATTTTGCTCAAGACTCTACCACTTGAGCCACAGCTCCACTTCCAACTTTTATGAACTTTCATTCCTGGGCTGGTTTCAAACCGTAATCCTCAGCTCTCAGCCTCCTACAGCTAGGATCACAGGTGTTAGCTACTGAGTGGGGCCTAATGTAAGTGGCTTTTTTTTTTTGTATTTTGAAATATGCTACAAGTACTAACATGAGAATTAACATGTCAGTAATATAAATGATTGGTTTTCCTTTGAGAATTAACATGTCAGTAATATAAATGATTGGTTTTCCTTTTCAATATTATCAAAATAGCCATCTTGAGTACAAAAGGAGTCTTGCACATACACAATATACAGTTTAAACAATTTTAAGTCTGTATTTTTCTTAAAAATATTCTGAGTAAGAACACCATAAGCCAGACTTTATCACAAAATGTTATATATACAGCAGGGTCCTGGTGGCTTATGACTGTAAACCTTGCTGCTCAGGAGGCTGAGATCTGAGGATCACAATTTAAAGCCAGCCCAAGCAGGAAGGTCAGAACAGAGGTTTAAGTGGCAGAACACTAGCTTTGAGCAAAAAAGCCCAGGGACATCTCCCAGGCCCTGAGTTCAAGCCCTTCTCCCCCCTCCCCCCCCAAAATATTACATATACATTATCAGAAGGAGGTTAACAATATTGTTTTGCTGAAGCTTGATTTATTAGTAAATTATAAATTTAATCCACTGTGATAAAGTAAATTAAAATTGGCATAAAATGGCCTCCATATCTATGTAACAACTGGAAGTTAATTTAATATGTCAACAAACAATAAACTGAGTTACTTGTATAATGAATGATGCCTTACAGGCCCTACACAGTCCAGATGCAGATGCTCCTCACATCACCTCCTTCCGACGTTGCTGGGTGGAGTTTCCACAACCTTTATTGGCTCCGGGGGCTCCTACTTCACAAGTTGTGTTTTTTCCCTCTCCCCAAAAAGCCTTGGTAAATGCTGCCATTTTCTTGGCACCAGGAGGGCAACGTGAATGAGACTGCAGGTGACCCCACCCGCACCACTGGAAGAAAACAATATGGCAGCCAGGATCTGTGCCTTTGGAGCTCACACAATAACTAGCCCATGGGCAAGTTGTTTCTTAAAAGTGGAGTCCAGGAACTTGTGTGCCAATCTCTCTGACTGAACTGAGCAGGGTTTTTTTTTTCTGCACTGAGCCCCAAATCTCATACTTTATGTTCCTTCATATGCTTTCCCTACAACCCTTACTTCTGGCCCTTTTAATTTATATATTAACTAGACTAGAATTTTTTATTGTAAAGCTGATGTACAGAGGGGTTACAGTTACATAAGTCACATAATTAGTACAGTTTTTTTTTTTTAACACTGTCACCTCTTCCCTCATTTTTTTTAACCAGGTTTTTTTTTTTTTTTTTGTCGGCCGTGGGGCTTGAACTCTGAGCCTGGGCGCTGTCCCTCAGCTCTTCAGCTCAAGGCTAGCGCTCTACCACTTGAGCCACAGCGCCACTTCCATCTTCCCTCATTTTTTTATTAGAATGTTTAACCTTAGTAATCCTAATTTCCTGTGGTCACTGGGAAGCAAGCCACTGCAATGTCACATGGACTAATGGGACTCCTTGAATGCATGCTGTCTCAAAGGGCAGCTCCTCACAGTGTGATTTTGTCTGAGAGTATTCTGGTTGTTGTAAAGTGAGAAGGGAGAAATTTAGAACAAAGTCTGGATGGCCAAGAACATTGTGGAAGGATTATAGAAATCAAAACTTGGAAAGGAACTTAATGTATGACCAAGCTGACTGAGATTAGCAGGGAATTATTTCCAAGCGTTTCTTAAAATTGAACATTAACATCTGAAGTACATTACAAAACTAGAATTGGACCCTCTATTAAGACAGCAAGTTTTCCTTGGAGCATTGGCTGCCTTGTGACAGGACATTGTGAGAGGTTCTGCTTTGCATTTGAGGTACTTGGAAAGAAAGACACTGGGTTTTACCAAGATAATTTCCTGAGCTTCCTTCTATGTTTACTCAGTTTTTAACCCTTAAGGAAACTAGGTCTTCTTTATCAAAAATGATCGGCTTACTTGACAATTATGTAATATTCTGGTCTTGCTTCTGAAGTGCTAATATGGCATTGGTTAAATAAAGAACTATTTATTGGTTTATTTATTTTGCAGTACTATGGTTTGAACTCAGGGTTGCCAGGTTCTGAAGGTCTCCAGTGTTTTTCCTCTGGTTACTTTACAAGTAAGGTCTTACACAGTTTTTCACAGGTTGGTCCTGGGCCTCCATTTTCCTGCCTATGCCTTGGTACGCCATTACATCTGCTTGCTTCTTAATGTATTATTAACGTTATTATTTTTTTTTTTGGTCTGGGATAACCTTGAACTACAGTATTCTTAACTCTAATTCCTGAATAGTTGGAATTACAGGCATGAGCTACCATACCCAGAAATGAAAGATTATTATATAAAATGATCTTATTCTAATCAAGTGTTAAACCTTGATATTTTGGTGAGCTTCTCCAAAGCAAAATAAAGTAAGTCATTCTCAGAACCTCAAATTAATTTGGAGATTTTCTAGAAGAACCCTTGGAGTACCTCAAAAGGTTATGTCTTTTCATAGAAAGACAAATATTAAACTATTGAGCTTATTTGGTATATTATGTGGAAAGAACTGGCAAATAACAAATAATACTGAAGTACTTTGAGTTATACCTATATAAATTATCTATACATGTGCTTTGCAAATTGTATGAAATAAATGGAAATCTATTAGTGATAGTATAACACCATCTATCCTAATGCTAGTAATAATCTTTAGAAGTGACACATAACTGAAATAACAAAATTTTCTTGCCAACTGGATCACTATTGTAATGACTTCTCATCAGATCTTTAACTATGAACATTTTACATTCAAGGACTACCTAAGAAACCCTGTCTTTAATATATATATATATATATGATATAAGGGCTCAGGATATATATATATATCATATAAGGGACAGGAGTGACAGTTCAGTTGGTAGATCATGTGCTTATCTTAGCATGCAGGAGGACCTGGGTTCAATCATCAACCCTAATAATTAGGACTGGTGACACTGCTATTTCTCTAGACGCTACTGAATACACACAGGCAAACATCTCAGACGAAAAGAGCATTGGGTGTGTGCATGGGAGCACTAACAGCTGGTTTGCAGCCATGCTGAATGGGGGGAATAAGAAACCTTGGCTATTCCAAAGTTTTCCAATCTTCATGTTCAGAGGGTCTCCAGGTTTCTATGCCTCGTGTCACCAAACTAACTACAGAAGCAGATGCTTCAAGCAGTTTTACTGAGAGCCAACTATGGGGTTTAATCACCATCATGTCCTACATGTCCTAAACAAAGTCTTTTATGACTCAAATACTGTGTTGTGTGAACTTTGGACCATTTGATTTTGATTTGTTTGGTTCACTGAGACATCTGTCAAGGACTATACCTTTTTTTCTCTTTATTATTTCCTGATAGTCATCATAATAGTATCCCTGACGTGTTCTATTCCTTCCAAGAATTTTATAAATGGGTCCAGGTTTGGTGGTACATGCCTGTAATCCCAGCATGCAGGAGGCTGAGGTAGGAAGATCACAATTTCAAGGACAGCTTGGTCTACATAGTGATTTTAAGGCCATTCTGGACTGCATAGCAAGATCCTATCTCAAAAGAATGCTCATAAATGTTTCTGTGGAGCCATCCTTTGTACTTGAAGACATCAAAAATCATCTAGCTTATTTGTCATTGTATATCATAATACCATATTGAGAGCAAATCATTTAACTATTGTGGTGATATACAATGTAAAAGTATTCAGCATTTCAATCAACCTCAAAATTTGTGGTTGGGCATTAATAAATTAAGTTAGACCTAAAGAGCCAGGCATTGGTGGTTCATCACTATAATCTTAGCTATTCAGGAGGCTGAGATCTGCAGATCAAAGTTTGAATCCATCAAGGGCAGGAAGGTAATCTCCAATTGTCCACCAGGAGAGGAGATTTGGCTCAAGTAGTAGAGTCATCATTGAATGAAAAAGCTAATGGACAGCACCCAGGCCTTGAGCTCAAGCCCCAGTACTGGCACAGAAGAAAGAAAAAGAAGGGGGAAAGAATGAAAGAGCAAGAAAGAAAGAAAGAAAGAAAGAGAGGGAGGGAGGGAGGGAGGGAGGGAGGGAGGAAGGAAGGAAGGAAGGAAGAGAAAGAAGGAAGGAAAAAAAAGAAAGAAAGATAAAGAGAAAAAGAAAGGAAGAGGAAGAAGAAAAGAAAGGTAGGAAGGAAGGAGGGAGGGAGGCAAAGAAAAAGAAAGAAAGAGGGGTCTAAATCTGCCTCTGTGTGTAAGGAACTGTACCCTGTCTTCATATGTGAACAAAATCTAACCTGACAGACTTTATTCTTTGAACAAGACCACGGCTACCCAGAGTGTACAAAGATGGCAGATCTGCTGCAACCTGGAGGTAGTTCTGTGTCACTTTCTCATCCTGTCCATAGACTTGCACTATTTAGGCACTGCTCCCATTCCTGAATCAGTTCTTCCTGCAAAGACATAGCTAAAAATGACTTGTTCAACTTTTCCTTTCTAGTAAGGGTTAACAGTATGTACTAGATAGCTTACAAAGGAAATTTCTTGGACCCTTTAAGATTAATAAGAAAAAAAAAGGTTTCCAATTCATCTGTATTTCGAGGGTAACTGGTTCTAATTGCACTGCTGCTCCAAAGACACGGTATTCCGGGCCCCAGCAGGAGCAGGGTAGGGCTAGGGACCAGAGTGGACACACAGGTGCACATCAAGCACCTAGTATATGTCTTCAAAGGGCTTCTGAGAGCCAGCACACAGTGAGTGATGGCTCACCAGGTACTGCAGAGACTTCCTTCCTTCCTTCCTTTCTTTCTTTTTCTTTCTTTCCTTCCTGCCTGCTTTCTTTCTTTCTTTCTTCTTTCCTTCTTTCTTTTACTTTTTCATCCAACAAGAAGCCATAACTTTATTGATAATAGAAACAGGACAGATTTCAAACCAAGCTGCAGGTACCCTCTTGAAACACAGACACACGGAAAAAGGGTCCTTGTTTTCCCTTGGTTACATTGTTAATTCCATTATAACATTTACAATGTCATTACTATTATTCTTCAGGGCTTGGACTGCCTTTGCTCTTGACACATTTCCTTTGTGACATGGCCAGTCCTTAACTTCCACACCTGTTTCATCAACCTCTTCCTCTTCATCCTCCTCTAGTACAGTTGGAGTCTGTGTGTTTTCTTGAATGTTTGAGACAGCTTCACTTTTCCCACCTTCTGTACTATCAAATAATTCTAAGAAAGGGCTCTGCTTCGGAGTCTCTGAGATAGATTCTCAATGGTCAGAAATGATTCTACTCCAGAGGACTCACCTTTCTATCGCCTCGGGATTATGATTATCAAATGATAAGGAGAGATTGTCACAAATCTTGAGAGGAGGGTAGCCTAGGGATTGGTAAAAGTTAGCCTTGCACTTTGGCTCCAAGAAAAGCATATAAGAATCAGAAAAGTTAAGTTAAACATGATTGTGACATATTAAGTCAAGATCACGGGGGTAAAATGGCAAAAAAAAAAAAAAGAACATGTTGTAGTGGATTCGGCAAGAAATGTTCCTGGCTGTACCATTTACCCAGCCGTGTTACCCACAAGCCCTATTTTCTCTCTATTTTCTCCCTATTGTCAGCTAAGTGCTTGGCTGACTTTGGTCAGGCCAGCAGAAAGAGGAAAGCCCAGAAAAACTGGTTTTCCGTGCGATCATTTTGGATGAGGAGCGCAGTAGCTAACACCCCAAACTCCGTGTGTCTTCCCGGGGTACCGAGAGGACAGACGTTCAAAGGCCTGCTGCCGCTGGGAAACCTTAGGAAAAATCCATTTCACCCCTGATAGTGCATAATTCTAGATCGGAATCCGCCCCCGTGGGCACGAGGAAGGGAAGCCCAGGCAGAGGATCAGAAGCCCCCCAGACCCCCCGGCGCGCAGGGGGAGGGGAGTCCGGGCGGGAAGAGCGAGCGCCCCGCGCCCCGGCCCTGCGGGAACCCAGCCTGGGGGGCGCAGCCCCGGCTCTCACCAGCCCCAAGAAGGCCAGACACAGGATCAGCGTGGTGAACCGGCGCCGCGGGCTCCGGGCCACCGCCTCGGGCTTATTCTTCGCAGGCACCCGGGTCTGGAGGAGCCGCTGCCGGGCAGCGGGGGGTCCGGCCCCGGCCCTGACCCCGGCCTCCACCCCGCGCCACGCCACGTCCAGCTCCAGCTCGGCGGCTGCGGAGAACGCTCTCGCTCCTCCCAGCTGCCACTCTGCGGCCGCGACCTCTGCCCCTCCGGTTCCAGATGCACCACTAGGCGCAGCCTCTCCCCAGGACTGGAGAGGTTGGCCTTTGGAACGTGCGCGTGTTGCGAGCTGCAGACACACCCGCGGCATCTTGCACAACTCCTGTGCAAGTCACGTGGCCGAAAGGGTTCCGTTCCCCAACCCAGGAATGAGTCGGCCACGGGTTGCCTGGGAGACCGAGAGTCGCTTCCCGCTGCAGCATCTCTCCTAACGGAGCCCGTAGAGACCCGCGGACATGCGCCTCCTGGTGGAAGCACCTGTAAATGCAGTCTCGGAACAGCTGCATCCTCTGGGCTGACACCCTCTGCCCCATGGTTCTGGGGTCTCTAAGCCCACCGCAAGAGGACCCTGCCAGAGTTCCGCCTGCGCCTCTCAGCGTCACCAGACGCCTCCTGGGCGCAGCTCCCTCTGCGGACTCTCCACCGTGCTGGGATGGACCAAGAGTCTCTGCATGCAGCCCATGCTCACCACAGCCAATTCCAAGATTTGACAGGCAGCAGAGAAACAGCTGGGGCCAAGTCGCAAGCAGGAGTTAGTGTGCATTTGTGGAGTAGTTCAGCATTTCCTCCTCTCCCTGTGGCTAGATGGACACGAATAAAATTCCATATGAAATGGAATACATTCTGTCCACCCCTCCCCCCCAAAAAAGCTCTTTTACGCCTCTGAAGCAGCATGCCCAGTACTTGGAACAAGTAAAGGACCACTGGATTTTCTAGATTTAGCCCTCAGAATGAAGCGCTCCTTGCAGATGGCTGTCTTAAAATAACAGGTGGAATGCTGTTTGCCAAAATGGACAGCAGTGCAGAAATGAACACCGTGGGAGAAGACAAGATGAAATCGTTTGGGAAAGAGCAGAGCTGTGTTATGTGCCAGTGGCCACTTCCAACCTCATCTTGACTAGTCAACAGGTTCAGCATTGTAAATTCAGCCACTGAAGTTGACGACCCGACTGTTGAACTGTTGAACATGCAATTTCATTAAGGCAACAGATAATGTACTTACTAACAGTCCTGGAAGTGGAAAACAAAGCATGGTAAAGTGATCATTATTTAATTGCACAATGCTTTTGCTATTCATTGCAGGCTCTTGGTTCACTGCCTGAGGTAACCTAGATGTCAAAAACTAATATCCCAATACCTGGAAACATACAGATCTTATAAACAAACAAAGAAATAAAGAGGCCATCAGGAAGAAATTTAAACTGAAAAATGCAAGATAGGGTCTTTGCAGGCTTCCTGGCCCCCTAAGGAATGGAAGGTCTTATTCTTGTACAACTTTCCACAGTCCCTGCCTTTGTTTCTCTCACATCTGGGGTTTCTTGATCTGCCGGTCTTTATACACTCTGCATGTATTTGTTGAACTTGTGTACTATCTCCATTAGTCATCACAACAACACTCAGATTCCACCTTAGCCTCATTTGGAAATAAAGAATGAGATTAAAGCATATCTCTACATACCTCACTTGCCTAAGGTCAGTCAGGAAACTTCTGGCCATGCACAGTGGCCACAAATACAACATAAAGCAGATTGCCTCTACAAACATTGCTTTTCTGAGAGGGTTAAAAGAAATACTTCCTTAGCTGGATATCTAGTGCTCAGACTGGGGGGTCCCCAAAGACCACCAAGGAGCTGATCCCAATGTAAGCACACGAAAGTCGTTTATTGCAAGCTGTAGCCTGGACTCACAACGGTCACCGACACAGCAGGTCAGAGTTGAGAGCCCCCACCCTTCCTCTAGCAGGGTTTTTATAGGGTTTTTAGGGATTTCTATGCATCATTGCAACACTTAACAAATCATATCACACCACGGGAAAATCATAAAATAATTCTAAAAGATGATTAGCATAACCAGTGGCGAGAACCAACCAGGTACTTGGGATTGGCTGGTTCAGGGGTTTGATGCTCTTCGAAATGATTGGCTAAAGCAGATGGTCTGAGCCATGACAGGGTGGTTTTTAACTTGCAGGAATATCTGGAACTTTGGGCTTTTCCTGTTATCTGCTGATTAGTTGTATTTGTGGAATTTTCTGTAAAGGGGTTGTTTCTGGAATTTGGGCATCAAGGCGATCAAAAGGAGTTGCTGACACATTGCCTGGACAAAATGGAATCTAAACCTAAAATTGCTATATTTTGTTCAGGGTTCACAGCTAGCTAATCATAGCTACTTAGGAGGCTGAGATCCGAAAACTGAGGATCACAATTCAAAGACCTCAGGGGGGCAGGAAAGTTCATTAAACTTTTTCACCACCAAAAATCCAATGGTGGAGTTGTGGCTTAAGTGGTAGAATACTAGCCCTAAATCCAAAAGCTCAGAAAAAAAATGCCCAGGCCCTGAGTTTAAGCCCCAGGATTGGCACAAAAATAAGACCTTCTTATCATGCTTGCTTAGGTAAACTGGGCCCTTCTGACTGGCTACTGTACTCTGATTGGTTTTTGCCAGCTGACTTTAAAACCATGAGGTGAGAGATCCTGTCTGATTTACTACACCACATAGTTTAGCCCAAGTACAGTGTCTGACACTAGGAAGTCACTAAAAGTATTGATATATAAATGACTACACATTTTATAGGATTAAAAATATCCATGCGACCTGGCCAGATAGGTCAGAACAGTTCTGTTGACTGATTGGGGTTGAAGCTGACCTGTGGACCAATGGTGAGGAAAGGGTTGAATCACCCACGATGGTCAAAAAGGCACTTTATTTGGTGTCTGGCAGCAAAGAAGTGGAATATAGGCTTGGAATTGTACAAATCTAAATCTAAAGCATAGCTCTATTTCTATGGGCTATAGACCTTTTTGTCTTTTTTTTTTTTTTTGAGACAGAGTGTCACTATACAACCCAGTCTGGGCTCTGGCTTAACAGTACTAGATTACGTGTGCACTACTCCTCTGCCTCCTATTGGATATATGGCTTTAAGAAGAAAAGCATTGAAGTCTAGGTCTTCCTTTATGAAAACAGGACTTAATGTCACCTGCCTTGTTGGTGCTTGACAGTACAAGGAGATGATGGGAGACACTGGGTAGTGTTGTAAGCTTGTGAAGAATCAGTTCCTAATGAAGGCCAGGGCACAGGAAAATCCTTTACCTCATGGCAGCTAAGAAACAGGAGAGGGGCCTGAAGGGGCTAGAGCCAAGACATAGCTTCCTAGGGCATGCCTCTAGGGCCCCAACTTCCCCAGTGGCCCCTTCCCAATAAGGCCAGCATTAACTATCAAGGGACTAACCATGGTTTAAATCAGAGTCCCGAGGTTCTGATTGCTTCCCAAAGCATATCAACTGCAACCCAGATCCCAACATATGAGCTTTTGGCAGGGGGTGGAGGATTTCACATTCAAACTATAACAATAGGCCAAATGCGATTGAAGGGCATCATAAAGATGACAGCTTAGAAATTACAAGTGAATGAAAGCTTAGATTTTTAAGGGAAAATGTGTTCTATTTTATCTGTTGATACCAATCATCTATGTTCAAAGATAAACCTGAAGTTAGGATAGAACTGAAAAAAGTAGACTCAGAAAAAGTTGTGATGGATATTAGTAGAACTTGCAAAGTATATAAAAGATATAGTTTATGAACAGTTTGTGTGATGTGATTAAGTTGACTATGTTTTTGTGTGTTTGTGTGTGTGTGTGCCAGTGCTGGCACTTGAACTTGGGGTCTGGGTATCTTTTGCTCAAGGCTAACACTCTACCACTTGAGCCAGCAGAGTCCCACTTCTGGCTTAAAAAAAAATTAGTTCATAAGATTGTCATGGACTTTCCTACCTGGGCTGGCTTCAAACCACAATCTTCAGATGTTAGCCTCCTGAGTAGCTACGAATAGAGGTGTAAGCCCCTGGCGGCTGGCTAAATTGTCTGTATTTAAAAGGTTACCATAAGGTTTTTCTAAGGGCAAGATTTAATGCACTCATGTAAAATTAGTACCCAATTCTCTATAATAACAAGACTAACTTAACAATCTTATTCTTATTATTCCTAAAATAATATTCCAGCAACACTTTGAATCACTGGCTTAAAGGGAAAAAATGATCAAGATAATGCCTTGTGTTCTAGTGATCGTGTCAAGCATTTCACTACTATGGAAACTGGGTCCTAACTGAGCCAAAGTTTGTTTGAGTGTCTGTTTCTTTAACCATCTTGCATGACCTCCACACCCACCCCTTCTAGGATGCAATGCTTAAATAACTCCTTACCAACTAGTATTCTTCGGATTGAAACGGTTTGGGGTGCCTTTTACAGACTGTCTGTGTGTCCCTAATTATAACAAGTAGAGCCTGTGCTGCTGCCACAATGCTGTCAGTCTAATTATTGTCCTAAACTACTGCATAAAGTAGAAATAATCGTCTGTGCTGTCAATCGCTAAACTGTTCCAAAAGTTGAACCAAGGCTTCTTAGTCTTTTGTCATGGAAGTTTCTTTCTCAGGAACAGGGCAGGTAGGCATAGAAAGGAAGGCTCTTACATTACTTATTTGTCAAAGAATTAGCTTTGAAACATCATGGACTCCAGGGAATCTTTCCCTGAGAACCACTTCTAAACTTGTTTTGGTCAGTCAAGCATTTAAGCAGGGGTATGGGTGTTATTGGCTACTTTTAGCCCCATTTACAGTAACAAACAGGAGCAGCAAAGACGAAGTTTTTTTTTTGTTGTTGTTTTTTTTTTTTTTAATTTACTGCTTGACTAGAAAAAGGAACATATATAAACTTTCAGTAAAAAAAAAAAAAAGTAGCATTAGCACTGGTAAAGAGAAACCAAGGGCTTTGGCCAGAAACTAAGAAGGATGCCTTGAGGGGATCCCCAGCATCTTCAAGGCTACCCCAAGCCACAGAAGCTCAAAATGTAAAAATGCAAATTGAGTT